GCTACCCAGCCAGGTTCCCTGTTTGTTTCTGTCTCTCAAAAATATCAGGAAAATTTTCATCATAAAACCACAGAAGCAGCAGCTGGGTGGTTTCAGGCAGGTGAGTTTCTGAAATGAAAACCGATGGGGTTGCCCCTTTGAGGGCTTGTCTTCACAAGAAGGCGGTTCTGGAAAAAGAGTGTATGAGTTTAAACACACAAGGCCTATTCCAGAATAATTCTGTGTAGACAGGCCCTACATTTTTTCTTTCCTTGCACCCTCGGCAGAGTATCTTTGTTCTTGAAAGAACATCGAGCCTGGACTCCTGGGCAGTCCCTCCAGCCATTCTGCGGAGGTGCTGCCTGCGTGGTGCCGCTGCTGCCCACAGATGGTTGCTGCCTCCTTTGCTCAAAATCCAGCCCTGAAGTTTGATGAGGAGGGAATGGATTGTCCCTCCATGCTTGTTTCCCTTTGTCCACAAAGTCTTCGCTGCAGTCCACAAGGTCCTGGTTAGACGAGGTGTGCTGTCACAGCCTGGTAATACTTGACGTCCCTAATTCTGGCTGCCTGTGAAGGAAGCAGGCAGAGGGGGATGGCATCCCTTCGCATGGTAATGTTTTATGACTTTTATTATTTAGAACAACAACCCTCTGTGATTGCTCTTGGGCAGTAAACCTCTTTCTTTAATAACCAGAGACTGGCTGCCTCTCTGTAGGACTCTCCAGGTCAGTGCCAGTAGCAGTAATGTTATTTCTCTTTAGAACTAATGTGGTCTTTTATGAGATTTTTCACCCCCTTCATTTCAACTGAACTTTAGGCGAGTAGAAAGGGATTAAGATAAGGCCTATGGCAGAAAGAACTGAATGTGCTGTTTGGAAAGAGGGTTTCCTGCTGTGAGATATCTCTGGGCAGCTGGCGGTTCCCACCATATTAAAACAAAGGTGTAGGAACTGAATTTGATCAGCTCATGTAAGCCGGGACGGGACCTGAAATATACAGTGAGTTATTACAGCAAGAGATTGGATGGCCCCACAGGCAGTGTTTTGAAAAGTGATGGTAGAGAGATGAATTTGAACAAAGTGCCTCTGTCATCTTGGAAGCGTATGTATACAGTAAGCAAATGACGTTCCAGGTGAGTTTGCCCGTTAGGATGTTGGATGGCTAAGGAAGAGCACGAGTTTACAGGGACTCTGCTACCTCTGTCGCTGTGGATGCTGCTTGCTGCCCGCGCTGGGTGGAAGCAGGTGGAGCTGAGGAGTGCCCATCCATCTCCTGCTTCTGTCGCTGCTTCTGCCCCAGGGGCAGTGATGGACCGTTACGCTCTTTGGGGACATCAGGTTGTTGGGGTCTCCTGGTAGAAACGTGCCTGCCTTCTCGGGAGGAAATTCTGGCAGCGGGTGGTGAGTCTCGGGGCAGAGCTGGAGGGAACCGAGACGAGTCTTCCCCAGCAGCTGGGGCACACCAGCACGGCCGCACCGGTGCCCCATTTCAGGCTGAGTCCAGCCGTCGCATTGTGTGCTTAATACCGCCGCGCTTCTTCATCAGCGAGTGGATTTGTTGGGGTTTTTTTTAGCACTTGCCAGCCCTTGCCCTGTAAATTGTCTTTGGATGAAGTCCTCCGGGTCTGTTGTGGCCTGATGCAGTACAAGGCAGAGACGTCATCGCTCCGAAGGCTTCACTGTAAAACGCACGCTATGCCCAAACGGGGGGAACGCTGAGTGGTCCTTCCAGTAAGAAGAACGCCCTCACCCTCTGCGTCAGGGAAGAAGCTTTCGGCCTTAGCAGGACCTTTTTCTTACCGTTAATACAAAGGGAAGTCTGTGGGAGCTGTGACAGGGACTTGCAAACATCTTCCAGTAAATGGACTCCTGCTGCAAATGTCATGTTACTTACCAAAGGACATGAGAAACGCTCTCTCCTCTGGAACAGGGTATTAAAATGAAAGGACCATGTGTCCTTTGAAGACTGGCGGTGTAGAGCCCTTCTTGCACTCCGGGGCATTTGCAGGCCCCCCCGAACCGTGCCAGGCTGCCGCGGGTTAAGTGCCGCAGCATCAGGACCAGCTCTGGGGTGCTGGGGAGGGGATGGGGGCAGTTGCCCTGGGAGGAGGCTCTGCACAGGCAGCACTCATCCTGCTCTGCCAGGGCTGCCTCTGGCGGAAAGATCTCTCGTCCCTTCTGCCGAGGTTTCAGACGAAGTCTCTAATTAATGACATCTCCCCACTTGATACGCAGGCAGATGCTGAGCCTTTTAGGGCTGATTTGCAACCCGCAGCGCTGCCTCCGTACAGTGCAGCATCTGGTGAAAAATGTTTCTGTTACTGACCTGGGTTGGATGTGGTCAGCCGTTCAGGAGTAAAAGACATCATGGGAGTGGGTCCTGCCGAGGCAAGAACCTGGCAAATAACCTCCTGCCTAAGAAAAGTCATGTTAATTTTAGGATTCCCAGGAGCATACAGCAGAGTTTGGAGGGATATAAATACACATTTGCTGAATCTGGTGAGAACATAATATGTCCTGAGAAGCTCCCCCTTGGTAATTCTTCGTATTGCACATCTGCACTCCCACCCATGGCCTTGCAGCTGCAGTAGTTTTAAATGAAAAATAGACTTGTTTTGTTTTAATTTTAACAAAAATTCTTAGGCCAGCATGAAGCAGTCCAGCTCAGTGATGTACATGTGTGTGTTACAGTGTGTAGCTGCTGAGTTGTGGGTTTAGATTATCAATTTTTCTGTTTGTCCACACAAGAATGCAAGTCTCAGCTTGGTTACGTACCTTTTCTAATTTCATCTGTAAAATATGGAAGTAAGATTTGCCATAAATGCTTTGATTCTGGGCTTATCAGGGCTTGGTGAGCAGTCTGTATTGTCAGTTCTTGAGCTGCTGGATATTAGTTCTGCACTCAGCGTCCAGAGGTAACTCGATCTGTCTGCCTGTATTAAAGTTAATTTACAGTATCATTCAGAGGAAAAGGATATGGACCCTTTTCTGTGAAAATAGTGTAAAATTGCCACAAAGTACTGGGAAATGACTGTGCTCAGTTCCTAAAGATCAATTTATTCACCATAGAGATGTGGGGAGAGTGGGCAGTTTAGAGAATCGCTAATGGGATAGAGAGCCTTTTGCTTCAAAGCCACGGCTTCTGATCCAGCACAGGGCTGTGCTAAGCCAGGGCTTTTAACATTTGAGGGCTGGTGGTTGTCCTTTAAGAAAAGATTGTGGTGTCGTAGTCTGTTTTTCTGCAGATGCCTTAACAGGTACCACCACAGCCGGTCCTGGCTGTCAGCCTCAGTAGGTGCAGGGAAGTGTCTGGGGACGGTGCTGTTGCGGAACCCTTGGGCAGTGTGTCCCCAGGCTCGTTATCCCGCCGTGCTGCTGGGGAGAAAGGGTGGCCTGCAGCTTTCAGACTCTCCATTTAGCATGCTCAGCTGGAGAACCCAGCTGTGGGCTGATCCATTATCACCTGCGGGTTCATCCATGGCATGAATCTTAATGACAAATCTAGAGAAGCACCTGTTTATCTTCCGCTGCTGTTTATCCTAGAATCTCCTTTGGCTGTTTTCTAGCTTCAGCTTGGCATGTGATTCACTGGAAGCTGTGACTTTTGCGTGCACTGTTGACATTTCTCTGTGTTTCGGGTGGTCAGCTTTACCAGAGTTTCTAGAGAATGACAAAACTCAACATATGCAGACAAAGCAGTCTGAGAGTATACTGGGAGCATTGTTGTTTTGCTCATAAAAGACCGTCCTGAGAATATCTCAAACTCCCCCTATTTCTGTCCTTCCGTGCCTTTGAAGAAGGCGGCATACTGTCTTTGTAGGCAGAGGGATATGTGGTCTCTTTGGAAGACCCTAAAGTGCTTGCCAGAAGTTTTAAAGGTCAGAGTTACCTGGATCAGTGCTTTTGTGAGCTGGCTGGCGTAGGAACATTTTAAATGGTGCAGGCTATAGAGAAGGTAACTGCTCCCCTTGCTCTCAAGTTATTTTTTTCCCTTGCCACTTTATGGTTTTGTTGTGTTTTCCCTGGGACTACCTAGCTAGCTATCTTCCCCCCACCCCCCCCTTGAGCTCTCTGGTTTTGCTTTAAGAGTTACAGCACCATTGATTGTATTGGCTGTCTCAAAAATGGTGTGCTGCTTGCTGTCTGTGGGCTCCCTGCTGCTAAATGCTGCCAGTGGGACTCCAGAGCATTTAGATCAATCGATAGGGCTATCATGGCCTTATTTTCCACACTGTCCCCATCCCGGGGATGTGTGTAACAATTGGAGAGAGCACACGAGCCCTCGGGTTATTGGTTACGGAGTACGGATCCCAGACACCGGCTGCATCCGTGATATAGATGTGTGCATTTGGATGGGGAGAAGGGTACCTGGCAGTGCCAGCGGCTCCCAGGCACGCTCTGCGTGCAGTGAGCGAACGCAGCTGGGGTTTTAGAAGGATCTGCCATTAATTCCTCCCCATTCGCAGGTAACTTCCTTCTGTCAGTCGGGACTGGGTGCTGCGAAATAGCATGAAATGAAGTAGGATGCTAATGGAATGTCCCACACGCATGCAAACCCAGTCCTGGGCCGGCAGTTGGTGCTCGGTGCCGCCGGAGCTCAGCACCGGGTGCTGCGGACCCAGCTGCGGTACTGACGAGCGCAGTAGTTCGTGCTGGGGCCGGCCGGCCCTGATCCACTCGTACTGCAGCACACCTGGAAAGTCTCACGCAGCAGGTGCGATGGCCACTTAAAGACATACTTGGCCATGCAGAGACCTGCAGTCTACAAACCTCTAATAATGTAGTCCTGACTGCATCGGAGTTTGGAAAAAACGTTTTTACTGAACATACAGCCTGTAATAGAGCCTGTAATGCTCACCAAATTATAAATGGGACAACGTAGCAGTCCCTGCTATTCTGGGGCCTCAGTTATCTCATGAAAAAAAATTCCCAGGAATATTCTGCAGTTGTTGCTAACAGATGGACTAAATAATTTCTCTGGGAAGGAAAGCATCTACTGATATGGTTACGTTTTTCCTCTAGATCCCATCTAATGCCGAGGCTGAAAGAATCGCGCTCCCACGAGTCTTTGCTCAGTCCCAGTAGTGCTGTTGAGGCTCTGGATCTCAGTATGGAGGAAGAAGTGGTCATCAAGCCAGTCCACAGTAGCATCCTGGGACAAGACTATTGCTTTGAGGTAAGGAGCCTTTCTGTCCGTCCCGGGGGCCGTTCGTGCCATGTGCTGGGGCTGACTGGGGAGCCAGGTGCGGGCTTGCATGTTGGGCTTTCGCTGTTACAAAACATTTCTGCTCTGAATTGCTACGCAGAGACTATTTCCTAGGCAGAAAATTATTCCCATCTTTCCAAGGAGGATCATACCCACAAAATCAGAGCAATGAGCTCTTTGACTTGTAACTGTTGTCGCAGCAGAGCTTGCTGCTGGCACAGGTGCTGAACTACTTAAGGCCGTGTATTAGCAGAGCATAAATTTGTAGTTTATGTTCATACAGATAGTGGAAAGTGCTAATCCCTACTCAGTCTTCACAAAGACGTTATATGTGGTCACAAAGATAGCCTACTGCTGTCAGTGGGAGTGTTGAGGACTTTGTCTAGAAAACTGAAGCTTCACTTGTTTGGGTAAATAGAAAATCTGTGAGTATTTCAGGGTTTTTTAACATCTGTTATGGCATGTGGTTAGGTCTGTACTAGCAGGAGGTAGTAGGACACGTACAAACCAGTCTGTAGTTGGGTAATTCAATGCAGTATGTCTTGGGAATCATTTCACCTGCATCATGGATGGCAAAGTATTATTGCTTATGGCAGTGGCTGGATATAGAACTGGGAAATGGTTTTCTTACGGTAATAAGGTAGTCGATACTCGTGTTTCTGTGAAGAGGAGGTAACCTGTTTGTACTTGGATGTAGAAGAGCGGATAAACGGTATATCCATGGTTGGATTGTACTGTAGGGGGTGATGGGACTGCAGGCTTTCCTTCGACGGGCAGTGCTAGGTGAAAACAGCCTTGTCAGTGTCCAAGAGGAGTCAGATTGGAGAGATGAAGATTTTTTCTCTTTACTGAAATTAGCACACTTTGAAAGAAACGAGTTAAAAGATCCATTTCTTAAAATATAAGCAGGTAACACAAAAACAGTCTTACACAAAATGGCCCCAAACATAAACTCTGAAGTGGGCTGAGGTATAAATTTTCCAGTGCTGTTCATTCTCTGTAGAATTGAGCAAGTGCGGCAGGTCAGGAGGAGAACAGTTTTGTAAATTATATGGCCTCTATTACATTCCACTCAAGAAAGATAAAATGAAGCTAGATGGAAAATAGATGTGACATCCATAATATAAGAGTTGTTTACCAATTCTGTTCAGCACACAAGAGCAGAGGAAGGGATATGAACAGTGCTTGTAGAAAGTTGACTGAGAGGGAAATTACACAAGTCATGCACTTGTAAGGTGGAAGAAAATTTTATTTTTAAGTGAGTTGGATAAAGAAGAGTCATACAGAAAAAAGGAACATGTTAATTGCTGTTCTGCAAATCCTGCAGAGGAAAGGAAGAATGCCAGAAAACAGGAGGGACATTGATTTGTAACTGACGGTTACTCATCAGCAAGCTCCAGCGGGAAGGACTGAGGTGAGAGCTAAATGGCATATTGTGTTAATGTGTTGGTCTTGTATCTCCAGAGAGTCTCTTTCAAATTCAGAGTGAGGTCAGCACTGAAATGAGTTTGCAGATCTCCCAGGATCCCTGGCGGATAGCGCGCGGTGACCACAATCCGCTGCGCGCTTCGGTACAGCTGATGGACGCAAAGGGTTAGTGTTGCCTTGGGGCCGCGCAGGGCTGGAGGGACGAGCCCGGGCCGTGCCTCGTGCCCGGGCAGAGGAGCAGCGTGTGCTGGGACGGGCTGGGCGGCCCCTCCGGACCCCCACCTGCATTGGCACAGGCAGCTTTATCCCATGGTTCTCCACGTTAGGCAGTAGTGAAAGCTGAAGGACAAAACCGCACGGGCGTCTTCTGCTCCTCAGTGCTTGACTGTTGCCTTCAGTTATCATTATGTCCTGAGGGTCCCGTCTACGGCCTGTGATCCCGAGTCCTTCAGCATTGCTTCGTCTGAAAGTTTGGGCAAGACTTGGCAAAGACTGCTGCCGCCCTTTAGTGGAAGCTCAGCAAAGAGCAGTAAAACCCATGCTGGTTCCTGTGGCCTGGAACTGGGAAAGCTCTGCCTGAAGTCTGCACGGGGCTGAAAGGAAAACTGAAGCTGATGGCCAAGAGCCATCACACTGCTGTGTCTGGGAACACTGAGGAGCGAGAAGCTCAGCTGATGTCCTGGACAAGGAGCCCTGACCAAGAAATGTCAAGTGAGAAGTTACTGCCAGAGTCACGGAGACAAGGGGGACCAAGACGTTTTCTGCACAGTGGATCGCGAAGGTGCTGTGGGTTGGTAAAGGTACCTTGTCCCTGCGCTTTGAGGCTATCGTGGATCTGTTCTCTGGGGAGATCTGTCAGGAACGGCCAAGTTTGCTGTCCCAAATTGAGAAGCCAAGCATTGCTGTTGTTGGGCAGTGCCAGCCTTAGACGGTTCTTAACTACCTTCTCCTTGCGGTGGGGTGGTCGGGCAGTGGACGGTGCCTAGGGAGCTGCTTCCATCACCGGCTGGCTGGTGTCTGTTAGTTCTCAGTCATGCGAGGTATGGCGTGCCACAGGTCCTCCTCCACCGGGCTGCAGCAGCAGCCTCGTGGCTCGGAGGACAAGATGGCAGGATTCGACACGGCTGCGGATGGAGTCGCGCTGAAGAGGGCAGGTTCAGAGAGGGAACTGGCAGCGCACCCGAATGGAGACAAAAGCGAGAGGTGCCAAAGCCATCTGCAGTGGAAAAAAACCAAGTGGCTCGTTTGGAGGCAGCTGACTGTATGAAGGTACAGTGCAATTGTTTCTCTCCTTTAGCTTGACTGACCTGCATTGAGACGTGCTGAAGCTGACTGCTCAGCTCTGCTCCCCCTCCGCTGGGTTCTGCCGGGGGTAAGGAGAGTCAGCAGTAATGCAGGGCATTTTCAAATGCTGCATTTGGCTTTTTCTGCTTATTTAGTTCTATGAAACTTGCTTTTTTTTGACTTGCTGAGTACTTGGCAGTTGGTATTTACTTGTTTTCTTCATTGATTTTTTTTAAAAAAGTTACTCAACATCATCTTCTTTCTCCTTGTAAGACTTCTCAGTCAGCATAATTGTCTAGTGCCACTGCATATGCTGCGTGTGCTAAATATACAGTGGGCATCTTAGTCCAGTAAAGGAGACTCGGAGTCCAGACTCCCAGAGCCTATTCCTGGCTCTGCTATTTGTGGGGTCCTGGTGACTCGGGCTGGGCAGGGGAGTTAGGACTGAAGGGCTCTGTTACTGTCCTGGCAGACCAAAATCTTGTCCTGTTGCACAGCTCGTGTCTGGGCTGTCGCAGGACATAGCTGGGGGATACGGAGCAGGAGAAATTAAAACTGTAGTTGCTCCAATACAACTGAAACCGTGTCGCCTCATCCTGGCCTTGCCTGAGCAAGGGAGAATTTTAACGGAGCTAAATTTAACTTCACTAAATTTAGTCCAGCTGTGCAAATGTTCGCCGTTGCTCGCGCGGCCCTTCAGACAGCCTGAGCTGCCGTCACGGGTCTGCGGGGCTGGCCCAGGCAGCGCTGGTTTGCCCTTCTGCACTTGGTTGTGGTGGTATTTACCAGCTGGAGCCTTAACTTTTCCTCGTAAAATCTTTCGAACACGTTGAGTGAAGCAGCTTCAGTAACTCAGTTATCATCTTCTGTTGTTACTCTGGTGAGGTTCCTTCAAGTGTACTTTGAGGAACCCATGCTGTACCTGAGACATTCTTAAAATGACAAGTTTTTATCTGACTTAAGAGATCACCCATCCGAGGACTGTGGGTAATGAATGTGAATAAGTAACATTTTAGAAATTAATGAGTTTTATTAATTGAGTTTATCCTGTACATTAATAGTATTCTAGCAGATCCAAAATCTTGATGAGACCAGAATACTCTCTTTGTCATGATAATTAATACCTCATGAAGAGCATTAATACCATATGATGTTTAGGTCAGAGCTCAAAGCTGGGATATTATTGCAGATCTGGGGAAAATTACATTTTTGGTCACACATGGTAGATATGACCTTCAACTCCCATCAGCATCAGATCAAGAGGGCTTCATGTCTGACACATGAGGATTTTTCCCTTCTCTCACTTAAGTATGACAGTTACAGTTTTTCTAGTTTTTGAGTGATTAGTTAATTGGCAATTGTTTTGGAATTGAATCATAAATTTTACCATGATAACTCAATGGTAATATGTTGACTTAAGTGTGGCAAGAAAATATATTAGATATTCAACCTAACCGATAGCTGGTAAAAAGCTGACATTTAATTAACAGATTCAATAGAAGGACAGCTAAATTGAATGATACTTATTTGGGTATGAATCCTCTAGGCAGCTGTGGGATCCATGTGTGTCACCAAGGAGAACTTCTCTTTAAGAGGGCATCTTTCAACAGCAAAGAAGTCTTAATTCTCTTTTATGGAAGAGCTTCCAAGTTTCCTACCAAGTTCTCTAGATCTGAGAACATTGTTTTCAAATGCATTTGTACGTGAAACTCCCATCAAAACAAGAGAGCCAAACAAAAAGCTAGGTGAGCAATGGCCTTTGAGGCAATGGACTAATGGTATAGTTTACTGAAAGGTGTATTTGACCTATTCCACCTTTATTAACTGATTTCTAAGCGATCGGTGGGGACTCAATTTTGTGGACCTTAGTCAGAATGTCAGTGAGTGGCTTTTTCCCTCTGTGTGGTACAGAAACCCAGCCATAACAGCTGCCGGGCAGTGGGGCTGTACCAGGAGTGTCAGGACTTTGATGTTTTGGACTTGGACATGAATGATTTTGAGTCTTTTGCAGCTGAATTAGATGGGCCAGATAAGACAGAGCTCAAGTTCTGAATTGTTAGGTTCTTGTCTGAGGAACGGTTTTGAAGCCTTAGAAATTTACATTGATCGAGGAACTGGGGAGCTATCTGAAGCAATGCTCATTTGCTGTGCATCTTCCGTGTTACTTCACTGTAAGTTCTGTTCTTAAAAACTGTTGCTAAGTGGTACTTCTGGGATCTTTGTATTTGTACTTCTGTGTTAAGACGGTACAGCACCATGCCAACAGTAATGCAGCCATGCGTGGCTTCTCTTTAGCTGTCGTTACCAGTCAGGTGTATGGCTGTGCTTGGCTTGAATGCTGTTGCAGGAACTCTTACTGAGAAAAGGATCAAGATTCAATGCCCTCTGACAGAGCAAGGTGTAGGGACCACACGCTGTGGACACAGTCTTGTATCTCTTGTGCCACCAGAAGTCCGTTTATGAAGGTTCAGGGATGGAGGTTCGCACGAGTGTCTGCAGCAGCAAACAGGAGATGAAGCAGGCCAGGTTTGTAGTGGGAAACTTTGAAGAAGCTTGAAATACACTGAATTGTGAAAGGATGCTGAAAATATCATACTACTGTGCCTACTAATATGGAGTCTTCTTTTCTTGGAAATAGAAGGTAACTTGTGCTCAGGAGAATATATAGTTTTACAGGACAGAGGATAAAAGCATATAAGGACAGGGAAGAGTGTCTGTGTGAAGGAGACATCTTCCGAGATATCAAAGGTTGGAAGATTTCTTGCATTTGCTGTGTAAAGACAGGATAGGTCTCTTCTCATTTTGTCCTGGTTAGAAGACGTCTGTGTTCAAAGGAAGGGATGCATTCAACTCACCACTGAGGTTAGCTAATGACACATCTTAGCAAGTGCCAGCTCTGCTGTAAGAACAGCCTAGGCTTCTGGGAGATACATGAAATTAAAGGAGATTGTGTCTCCCAGAAGCAGATAACCCAGTGTGCAGTGTGTAAACACGAACGCTGTGAGATGATAAAGTACTCAGAAATCATTCTGCAGCTTGAGACTGGTGGAAATGAAGCTCAGAGGGGAGTTATTTAGTAGTAGCCAGGTCCGTTTGGCCTGCAGGCAGAGATGTACATAAAGAATATTACTGGACATCACCAAAAGCTGTGAATGCAAAGAAGGGCAGAGCAGCTGGCGGAGGGCTTTATGGGCAGTGCAGAGTTCTGGTTCCGTGGTCGTGGGCTGTCAGCTTGCCAGCGGGGCCCGGAGGAGATGGCGGCTTGAAGAATATGTGTATGTGAGAAGATGCAGAGAACCATTGGCCTTTTAGACCTTGGCTCAATAGTGGATGCCAGGGAAGCTTGGTGTGGTGAATAGGAAGAAACGTTTGGTGCCTGTTATCCTGGGGCTGCTGGGCAGGAGTTGCTTTGGTGGGCTCTCAACAGGGTTGAGTTTTTTTGTGGTAGCCGGGATGTGATAAGGAATGAGGGGCATCTGCACCACTGGAAGTGTCGCTGCTGTGAGCGTCCTTCTTCAAAACCTGGCTGTGAAATCCCGATGGCCAGAGAAAGTCACACAGATACTGCAGAAAGATCCCCTGGAGTGATACTGGAAGCGTGAGAGGAGAGACGAGGGCTCAGCAGCACTTCACTGGCCATCTCCAGGTCCAGGAGCCCCAGCCTGGTTCTCCCCAGCTGGGGACTGGGTGCTGTGAGCACAGGAGTGCCTCTGGCCGGGCTGTGAGCTCGAACTGACGTCAGGAGTGGGGTATACATACTTGTCCCCATGTTCTTCACAGCATGGTCTTCAGAAGCAACAGGACACAAAGGGGGAAGGTAGGAAACCAGCCGTACCGGGTCTGATGTTCTGCTGAAATCAAGGAGTGGGTTGTTACTATCACAAGCTTTGGGCTGAGTCTGGAGGAATGCCAAGTGGTTGCAATTTATCTTTAGTTCGTCTAAGGATTTGCACTCTCTCAATTGTGGAACTTGGTGGTTTAAAGTGTCACATGCATGGGGCCCATTATCTGGTGTTTTCTGGTGTGGAAGAAGAGAAGTAATTGGAATTTGCTTCCATGATTATTTCTGTGACATAGAGAGTTGCCCTGTTTTTCCGCTAGCCTTAGGGGCTGTTGCTTCATGCTTGGGTAAAGCTGTTTACTTAAAAAAAAAAGAAAAAAATCCACTAGCATCTTTCCTAACTCCCCCTCTCCCCCCAAATCACAGTCTGCAGTGTGCTGGTCAAGACATAATCCTGTTCCTTTCCCTGTAGGTGACGACTTCATCAGGAAGTAAGTGCTTCTCGTGTCGTTCTGCAGCAGAGCGAGATAAATGGATGGAAAACCTGCGGCGTGCCGTGCACCCAAATAAGGTAGTGGCTTTGAGGAATTGCCTCTGTTATAGTTCAGTTCCTCGTTATTACATTTTATAGCCCACTGCATAGTAGCAGCAGGGGACGTATTGTCATTTTAGTGAGTAAGTGTAACTGTGGGTCAGGCTTTTTCCATATTGCTTTCTTCCACAATTATATTTACAGGCAAGTGCCAATTATTTCTTCCCCTCTTTTCTCAGCACATGCTGCTTCAGCTGTTGCTAAGAATTGATCAGACTTGAAGAATCTTCAGTCTTGCTCTGTTACTGATGATACTTGCTACTTACGTAGGACTTCCCACCTCCCAAAAGCTCTGGGACAGATGTCGGGTAGCTGCCAGCGAAGCTATAAGACTGAGTAGTCTAAAGAGTTCACATATCACACTTCCTGACTCTGGTAGTACTTGCAGTGTCTGCTTTAGTGATGGAGAAACTCAGGTGCCCATCACAGTGAGTTCTCTGAGGCGATAGTGGAACGTAGCTTTCCCTTCTCCAGTCATTTGAGGTGGGAAAGTCATCCCTTCTGGGATCTACAGAAACAAATCCTTCTCTTCACTAGAACACAGGGACACCCGATACGCGGTTTTATGGCCCACTGAGACTAAGTACATCCTAAAATAAAATCTACAGCTGCTTCTCCCCTCTGCACTGGAGTTAGCTAACAAAGATTGATCAGGACTAATCAGCTGCAGGATTTCACAACTGATGAGCTCAATCAACAAGTCTTTTTCTGCTGATCAGAGAAGACACAAATGATGGGATCCTGTGACTTCATTCCTGGCATCAGAGCCACATAACCGTGCATACAAGTTAGGTCCAGGCCTGGCGGGTTGCTAAAGGAGCCCTCTGTGTCGGAGTTTATTGTTCCCAGTGCAGTGCCAAATGTCAGTATAAAAGATTTCCTTCAATATCAGAACAGGAGCAGCGGAGGGGAGAGGTGGACTTCTGCCTCTAGCACCGTGTTCCAGTATGTGGAGTTCAGTGACGCCGGTGCTTTCTGAGTGCAGCAGCCTGGTAGTAATGATCTGAAAGAGCTGTGTAAGGTTTGCGTGGTCACACTCACCATGAGAAAAGTCCTGGGAATGTGAATTGGGGCTGGGGACGTCACTATGGGTTTGAGCTGCAGCATTCAGTGGAAATTCATTTGGAAGTGTGCCCTCATCTCAAAACATGCCATTAACTGATGGCTAACTTTCCATCTTTGTTTGAGTTCACAGACTAACCTCTCAGTATCTGACTTGATATTTCTGTCAGGAATTCAGTGTTCTTTTATAGTTCCTGTGTGTACTTCCTGAACCTACAGTACCCCATTGTGGACTTCCAGCAGAAATGTTCCTGCCCAGACTCCTAGGCTGAGCAGAATAAGCCGTGGTTGATGTTTCAGTGAGAGGTTTCCAAGCAAAACAGGTTAATGCAGAATCCCTAGCAGCCGTTCAGTTGCGAGTGCTTTACTTTTCAAGTCACTCCTGCAACAAATGCCCCTGGATGTTCTTCCAGGATGAGGTCAGCATCACTGGAGAGCTCTTAAAGATCCACAGAATCCTTTGCTCTGTTATTGTTTAAAAGAAATCCAAGCCAAATTTCTATTTCTGAATTGTAGTCATTCTCCCGTGGAACTCAGTCTGTCTCCCATAATTCCTCTCGATGTTGTAGTTGGGTGCTCTGGACTTCTGCCCTAAAATATCGTGAGATTTTGTAAATGCTTCTTTCCCTGCCAGAGGTGGTTGCATTCCAGCCATGGATGAGGTGATTGCTGGGTGTGCGTTCACATCCCTTTGTTGTTGCTCTGTTACAGTAAAGAAAATACACTCCAGTGCTGCTGTAAAGCAGCTGTACTAAAAAAGGAGGTGGTTGTGAGATACCTGGAACATAGCTTCTGTTATGCAAAAGCCATTAATGATCAGTGAGGTTCTTTTGGTTTCTTCTGAGGCCCTCTTGGCAGTGAATGGGAAATGGCACATTTATGATTTGGAGGGGTTTTATCTTCCTTGTTCCGTATATTAATTGGCACCAACAGACATGGAGAGCACGGTGATATTTGGAAAATTAACATAAGTAGTGTTATTATGCAAATTCCTGAGAGCCAGTATTTCCTTAAAATAAAATGTAATTAAGCCTCTGCTCATTTAGCACATCCGAAATAATTAACTCATATCTACAGTTTTGTTGTGCTTGGCTTTGTGGTTTTTTTATTGACCTTTTTTTCTTTGCATCTTTTTTTCAGGACAACAGCAGAAGGGTAGAGAATATGTTAAAGTTATGGATTATTGAAGCCAAGGACCTGCCAGCTAAGAAAAAGTACTTGTGTGAATTATGCCTAGATGACGTTCTTTATGCACGAACTACCTGTAAATTGAAAACTGATAATGTATTTTGGGGGGAGCACTTTGAATTTAATAACCTCCCATCGCTCAAAAACATTACGGTGCACTTATACAAAGAGACTGACAAGAAGAAAAAGAAGGACAAGACCAATTTCATTGGGCAAGTGAACATCCCCGTCAGCTCTGTCACAGGCCGGCAGTTTGTAGAGAAATGGTACCCGGTGGTCAGCCCCAACCCCGGTAAGGGCAAATCCCCGGGGCCCATGATCCGCATCAAGTCACGCTACCAGAGTATGAGCATTCTTCCCATGGAGATGTACAAAGAGTTTGCCGAGTACATCACTAACAATTACATGGTGCTGTGCTCGGTGCTGGAGCCCTCGCTGAGCGTGAAGAACAAAGAGGAGATGGCATCTGCGCTGGTGCACATCCTGCAGAGTACAGGCAAGGCCAAGGTAAGACCCTTCATCATCCATCCCATCAGAGACCATCAGGAGCAGACTTCCCTGCTGGGTTTTGGAAATCACCACATCAGTTGGGCTTCAGGCCTAGCCATCATTAATACATTCTAATTTTGCTTTTAATTACAAACAAGTTGCTAGCATGTGCAGTGTGAATTGCTTAATTAGCAAAGAGGTTGGTAGGACCACAAGATACCGAGTCATTTTTCTCTCCTTCTGGAGGCTCAGGGGCCAGGCTCTTACTTTATAAACAGGCACAAATGTGAAAGTAAGCAAGAAGGCAGTTTTCGGGGATGAAATGTTAGCAACGCTGGCTTAAGCTAAGCAGGCTGTGTGTGCCGGGTATTCCTGTGGGAACCCAGCAAGCTCCTCGCTCCATTCCCTCCCTGTCACCGTGCTGCTGCTCTGAGCACCCAGCACGACGGGATCCGAACGGGAGCGAACAGCCTCTTGAGAATTTCAGAGCAAAGTCCGCCTGCGGGCACGCGTGTCTCTGAATCAGCTCTCAGTCTTCAGGGTCTGTTCCGATGCTTTTGGAAGGGAGGTGTGGGGGTGGGCAGCAGCGTGGGAAAGCCCAGGGGTCCTGGAGTGCTCCCGGGGCAGTGCTTGTCGGGGAGCTGATGAGTGGTGGAAGTTCAGGTTTTGTGGACCGCTTTGTCTGAACATCCTTCATGGTTGGGAATCCCTCGCCAGGTCTGGGGAAGAAGCAGGCCAGGAGGAGGCAGATGGTGGGATTTTCTCCTGGTTGTGATCTGTGAGGGTACAGGGTGAGCAGAGCTGGAAAAAAACCCCTTACTGGAGAGCACCGGCAAGCACTGAGGTCCCCAGGTGGCACGGCAGAGCCATGGAGGGCAGTGCCACTGTCAGGACTGCAGGAGTTAAAGCATCAGCGTTTTTCTCTGTTAACATCTCCCTGAACTCTGCAGGGGGGAGCTGGGGAAGAGCAAGATTTCCAAAGCTTTTGCAGTGCTGAGGAGACATGAGCCGCTCACCTGAGCGGGAATCGCAAGGCTCTGCTTCCTCTGCAGCTGCCGCTGCTGCCGGGACCGTGGCAGGGTTTGTGGATTAGATTTAGTTACCATCTGTCGAACAGAGAAGTGGCTTGGCTTCCTGATCTAGATCAAGGCAGGCAAAGCTCACTGAGAGGATTGCGAGGCTGTGGGCCTGCTATTGCAGAGGCAGAGAAAATAGCTAAATAGTTAAAGCTTTCCTGATCCCAGGCAGCAGTGTCAGACCCCAGGAGCGCAGGGAAGGACCACAGTCCTGGTCCCCTTGGCTTTGTTGCCCTCGGCGGTGACAGAAGTGGCTTGTGATTCACGGGGTGTGAAGTAACGCTCTGAGGTTACAGAAGGAGAGCATCGTAGGTGTCCCACTCCTCGCGCCTTCTGCTGGTACTGCTCCTCCCTGCAGACTGGGGGCTGCGCTGCCCTTCGCTGTGTCTGTGATGGTGCTAGTGCCAGGGCTCCTGTTAGAATGACATTGCCATGAAGGACCCTGTCTGTGGCTTACACGGTTCTGGTGCAAAAGGCTTCAAGTGTCGCCCCAATCTCGGTCACCACGGATCGTGTGCGGGCATGGCCGAGAGCTGTCGTCACTGCTCCTGCCTTTTTCCTCTTCTCATTGGTACTTGAGAGGCTCTGGAGAGAGCAAGTGTGTTTCTAGACATGTGTCTGCATCAGTGCTTGAGATCCCAGAGGCTCTGCATGGGGGACACAGTAAACAGACTTGATGAATTTCCCCCTAAAATGGAGCTTCTGCTTTCCCTGCTTGTCATCTGCCATCAGCATTAGCACAGGGTTTAGGGAGCTGTCAGAGCAACAGGAGTTATTGGAGCATGGGAACCGGGTGGTGCATCCTTTCTAGAGGAGTTGGATAAGCAGAGAAAGGGAAAAGCAGGAGTAAGGTAAAAAACCAAGGAATGGGAAAGGAAAACATCCCCTCACCCTTGCTTCTGTGACATGGGTACACCCCACCACTGCTCAGGAAAGCTCCCCTGCAGCTAAACACCGCGACCCAGCAAGGGGACACAACCGCAGGAGACCGGCAGGCTGGTTCCTGCTCTGCACAGAGAGGCTGTGCTGGTGTTGCGGTCCCTGCCCTCCGCTGGGCAGCCCCTCTTGACCTGCTCCAGGGAGAAGGACCGGACAGGATGAGTCCAAGTGCTTAAAGAATTCTGATCACCGTGCTGCTTGCTTTCCCTCTCCCTGGGCATCACCTGGCTGGCCCCTCGGCAGGGCTCTGAGCACCTCCCTGGAGTTTCAACGCAGAAACGACAGCCTCTTACTTTGTCTTCCCAGCTAGTCTGCAGGAGAAACAGCTTGTTTTCATTTTTCTTTTGTTGTAGGTAAAGTGGCTCTGTATGTGTTTGTGTATGTTGGGGAAGGCACGTGCCTGCAGGCAGGTCTGGCTCTGAACTGCATTTGGTTTTGATGCTGAGGACGTAGTTCCCTCAGCCCAGACTCACCCACCACCTAAATACCTGCTCATTCAGAGGCGACACTGAACAGGAAGGTAAAACACCCACGGCCCGAAGTAGGGCACGGAGGGTTTTGAAATGGGGTTTAGAGCCCGGGAGGAGGAGAACAGATCCCCGTGGGCCAGGAGCCCAGCGGGTGGGGATGGTGCGAGGGGAGCCGGCGTGCTGCGGGATGAGGCTTGAGGCTGTAGAAAATGGGGCCGGGTCCCAGCTTCTGCTGAGTGAGGACCTCAGCCCGGTCCGGCAGCGGTGAGCACCCTGCTCCCTGGCACTGGTGTGCAGGGCAGGGGGGCAGCGGCCCCCACCTCCACGTCTCTGTCCTCCCGTGACCCTCTGAAGCTCGCCTGGGCTGGAGGTGGGTTCCCCGTCCTTGTGCCTTGCCAAGAGCCTTTCCAAGGACCTCTTCAGAGCTCTCCCCTGCCCTGAAGAGTGCAGTCGTGGCAATCAGCAACCACTAATTTATTTTGCTGATAAAGGGGGTTTTGTGGATCTTGGCTGCTATAGCTGACACTAAAGCAGCAATTACAGTTGGACTGAGAAACAAGTGTCCGGTAGATTATCTATGAAGACTCGTTAGCAGCTAATTGCTCTTGTGCTGTTTCGGGCCGTGTTTTCCTGTAGCGATTTGCTGTAAATATGGTGTAATCCCTTAATGAGGCACGGCCGATTGGGTACGTGCGTCCACCCAGAGCCACGCTGCAGGAGTTCCGTGCAGGAGAGGTGCGATGTGGTGCTGCGCGGATGGTGCTGTGTGTGCCAGCCACAGCCAGGCCCCTGCCCACCAGTGTCCCTGTGCAGCCCCGCAGACGGCAGGAGGGCGATCCTTACCCACAGACACCCCACTTTGCTCCTTTGCAATATTGAGCTGACCCCCCCCAGCCAGGTGTCGTTACCTGAAGCTGCTAAAACCCAGAGGCACTGCAGCTGAATTTTCTCCCTAAATATCTGCTTCTTCCTGGGCTTCATAGCTGTATCACAATAGGTAAAAGGTGGAGAACGAAAACAGAGTCCTCTCTGGAGTCAAAGTCCATGCTTCCTTTGATCTCCATTTGGGAAAGGGAAAAGCTTCATCCCTGCAGCGCTGCGCAAGGGTTTGGTGTGCATCAGGGCACGCCTGGAAACCCCTGACCAGCCGCCAAGGCAAATAGGTGGAGAGGAGGGGAAAAGCATTTTGATAAAGCTAAAAGTGCAGACAGTGTGGCTGAGGGAGCTGCCCCAGCCCACTGGAAAGTCCGACAAACATCCAGCCCTAAATCAGCTTGCTCAGGGCAAGCGGTTGTTCACTGTCTTTTTATGGCAAGTAGGGGCTGGAAGAGGCATCGCTGTGCTGTAAGAGGGACATAGTTTTGTGGCTAAACACAGAGACGCGGGCTCTCAGCATCTGTCCTTGACTTGTCATGTGCTTCATCTTCCCAGTGCAAGCACTGATAAAATGTTACCTGTAAGGGTGTGGAGAGATGTCTTAAGTATTTTCATGTGTTTTGCAACGCATAGACAAAAGACACGAACTCATAATTAGAAGTATTTCTGTTGCCATCCTTGGTGTTACTGGGAGTGCTCACCCTTGCCATTAGCATGACTTGATGTGGCCTTTGTGATGTGGTTATGGATAGGCAGGCTGCATCCTCCTCAAAGCGAGACCAATTGTGACTTTGGATGCTTCCAGAATATTTCCCATGCTTAGATTTATTTCAGGGCTGTCTTACAGCTTTTGAAGCTCAGTTCATGACCATAAATGTATATTAAAAAAACCCTCTCTTGTCCAAATGGTTGGTAGATCAAACCCAACATTAGACAAAGCTCTAAGTAACCAGCTGCTCACTTGAAATAAATATTTACTGTGTTGTGAATGGAGTGAAGAATAAACATGTGTCCCTGTTTGTTTATGCTGCAAGGATTTGCTTCAGCTAAGCAGATGTATTTACTCCCCCCGTGCGAGCCTTCTGGAAACTCCCCACGTTCCCCTCCTCGGCAGCGCGGGGTGTTCGGTCAGAGCTCCGCTGGCAGCAGCAGTTTAAGTGCAGGACCTGCAAATACCACGTAGGGCTGCCTAAAAGTGACTACTCAGGTCAGGGAGGGGACCTGGAAATGAGTGGCATGGCCCGGGAAGCTGCTGGGCTTGGAGGCTGGTGGAACCAGGGCTCGGTCAGTTGCTTTGGGGAGCGCCACTCCCTTATCTGCACGGGAAAGGCTGCAGACACAGGGAAGGAAGGATGCTGCACACGTTCAGCCGTAGACGAGACTGGCAGCAGCCATATCATTTCCCCCACAAAGAGTTTATCTCCCTGATAATACTTTATAGCAGCCATAGTTGAGCTAATAAGGCTTTTAATCAGTTTTATGAGCACCCCCACCGTTTTTCCCCTTCTCCCTGAACACAACAGTCAGGTTGGCTGAAAGGATGGAGAAAGCTGGTGAGTGGCAGCTGCAGGGATCAGTGTTCTGGCTGTCGGGGTGGCGTGCGGTTTCTCAGCCTCCTGGATGGGATCCGGTCCCTCTGCCCTCGCAGGGAGGTGGT